TCTAATAGCCACTATATAGAAGGTGCTGCTCTGGCCACAAAAGGTGCAACAGTGAATCAGACATGTTCCTGCAGCTTCTGTTTTAGTGGGAGAGCCAGATAATGAGCATACAAACATTAAATGGAATATAATGTCAGGTCATAACGATGACAGAAAACAAAATAGGAAGGGGACAGAGAGTGACAGAGGCCACTATTATACTGGGTGATCAGGAAAGACCTCTCTGAGGAGCAGACATTTCAACACAGACCTGAATGGAAGGAGCCTTTCGTCCACCTGAGCCTGGGTGGTTCAGGCTGTGGGACCAGCAGGCACAGTGACCCTCAGACCTTGCCAATCCTGGTGAAGTTGCATTTGTTCCAAATGTGCATTCCCAGGCCCCACCTCCAGAGATCAGTTCAGTCTGAGATCAGCCTGTATCTTCTAAGGGAATTTGGTTAATGGGATTCACAGGCCACACTTTGAAAATGGGAGCATAGACATTTGAGGGCAAATGCTCTTATTCTGGTTAACTGCAGGATTATAGCTCTCTGCACTGTTGTGTGCAGAGTTCAGCCCCCAGAGGAAGTGGCTGTTGTTTTCAACTGTGTAATGGGGGTCAGTGATACTTACCATTGTCAGAGGGAAGCAGGGACAGTGACACAACATCAGGGGATTAAAATGTCTGTGAGAGTCCCTCTAAAGTGCTATATGTTATTCATATTTATTCAAGAAATAGGCATTGAATACCTACTATGTGGTGGACACTTTTGGCTTGAATGACTTCAACTTTATGACAACTCTGAAAGGCTGGCATTCCTGTTTTACAGATGAGAAAACTGAGTTTCAGAGAAGTTGTGTGACTGGCCTCAAAAGGTGTCACAGACTGGACTCAAAGCCATGATTTTGCCTTTGCCCAAACTAGCTGGTGTGGTAAAAGGGCAGTGTTTAAAAATCTCTGATCTCACTTTGTAGTAACAGTTAAAAGATTCAGCAAAATCTTCCCCCCTTTTTCTTTCCTTTCAGAACCCTGTTCAGCTCTTAAGGCCTATTCCAAATCCCAGGTTCTCCACAGAGCCACCCAGATCTAAGCATTGCTCTTCCTTCCGGGCTCCCACAAGCTGCTGTGTCTCCCATATTCACGTCATCCTAACATGGGCCACAATTAACTTTTTACATCTTTGTCTTCCTCACTGGGGTCTTGTTGGTCTTTCTCATCGCACCATGCAGGGCTAATGAGCAGGACTCATTGAGGGTTTAAAGACATGAACTCAGCTGTCAGCTCCCAACTTATATCTGATCCAGGGCTTCTCTCTTAACATCCCTTCGAGCCATGATCCCCGTACCCAGGGAGGGAAGCTGAAGGAATCGGCTGGCCCAGGGAGAAGAGAATGCACCCAAAGGCCTGCTGGGGCTGGGCAGAAGTGGGGGTGATGTTGTGAATTCCATTTAAGACTTGTGTGCATCCTCCGAAGATGCTGGTCACTGGGTGGATTTCCTACCTCTAGGGGATAGCGGCTGGTCAGGGGCGAGGGCTGGTAGGGCACCAGCCCCACTTCAGGGCCACAGGTTTTCTTCATGTCACCAAACGGCAGTGCGTCCACGAGGGTCATCCAGGTCCTCGACAGTGCTTGGGAAGAAGAGGAGCAAACCAGTGTAGGGAAGTGAGCAGGGGTGTGAGGGCTCCAGAACAGTGCCACCGTGGATGGGGGAGGGGATTGTCTCCGAGCACCTTAGAGGCACCTCATGTGTCTGCATCTCATTTATGGACTTTTTCCATCCCATTCCACACTGCCTGGCATGTGATAAGACTGGCCTGTGTGTGTGCGTTTCTTCTTCCCATGTTGGAAAAACTCAGATATTCCAGGCGAATTTGTCAGCAACTTTTTTCCCTCAGCCAGAGGGGAGGCTCCGAGCCACAGCCGCTCACATTCCAGCCCCAAGCCAGCGCTGAGCCTGTGGCTGTGGCAGGAAGCCGTGACCAGGGCCGGGACAGACCAGCGTGAGCGGAGTGGCCTGGACCTCCCAGGCTATCTCTGCTTCCACCGTGGACACACACACACACACACACACACACACGCACGGTCTGGGGCTTGCTCCTCTCTCTTCTGCTCCTCTTTCTTTCTCCCTTTTCCTCTCCATGCTCTTTGTCTCTCCCTTTCTCTGCATCCCTCCCTCCTTCTCTGGTGAAGGGTGGAGGGAGAGGGTCCAACTGCTTCAAGTGGCTGCTGCAATTCTGAATTTCCAAGAAAAAGAAACTAAGCCACTTCAGGTCATCCTGGCCCATTCCTCACCTCCTCCTGCTGGGGCTGCCTGGTTAAGGATCCCTAGTGAGAGGAAAGGAAAAGGGGCCAGGAACTCCCCAGCCACCTTTACAAAGTCACTGAGGCAGTTTGGACATGAACCCAACCAACTAGCTGCTGCGATCCTGGGGGAAGCCCCCAGAAAGCAAACGGTGGGTCCAGTAGGGGTGGTCAGGCCACTGTGGAGATCCACCGCCCTCTAGACTGGTTTCCCTGGCCTCAGCTGTTGGGGGCAAGGGGGGCGCCCAGTCCCGTGTATCACCCACCACCCGGTTGCCTCTGCAGGACATTTACAAGCTCTGCCTCTGTGTTCTCAACCTTTAGCTTGGGTACTTGTCACCAGGAAGCTCCTCAGCAGTGCAGGCTCCTGGCCACACCTCACCAATTGGCATCTGAAGGTGGGCGGGGTCCCGGGCCCTGTATTTTGAACCAGGACCCTGGCCTATAAAGAAGAAACCTGCATAGATTCTGAGAGAGACACAGCTCACAGCCCTGCAGCACCACGCCCACGAAAGGCCCTTCGGAGCCGACCTGCATCTTTCCAGTTAGGCTCCCTTTTAACTTGAGCCTGCCTGTTTAAGGCGATGCTCACGGTGATTCGGGGTGCCAGTGGGTTCTCCCCAGGTATCTGAGATTGATCTGAGTCTCCGATTGAGCCTGTCCGGGATGAGAGTTCCTGTTTCTCCACCCACACTGCACTGAGGCTTCACAGCCAAGAGAGGAGAGCGTGGGGAGGGTGTACAGAGAGTGGGTATTGTATTTCAGGCACGTTGTGGGACTATCTGACCTATTCCCACCCATAACTCCTCCATTTGACAAGTGAGGAAACTGAGGCACAGTGTTTCAACCCACCCTTCACACAGGCACCAAAGAGCCAGATCTCTGAAATACCGGCTGGACTTGATCTAAAACTTGTTCCTGGTGCAAAGCCCAAGTTCCCTCGTGCGGCCTGCGGGGACCTTTGAGGACAGGCCCCTCCCTTTCTTCAGCTCTGACTCCTCACTTCAACTCGCTCTCCAGGGACACAGACTCATGCCGTTCCTGCCATGCCTGGGCTGCTGCTCTTCCCACCACCAGGGATGCCTCCCGTGCCTTCCTTGCCAGGTAACCCCGCTCACCTGCCAACTCCCCACCCAGAGTCGACGCTGTCCAAGGCCCTGCTCCGCACCCTCCCAAGCTGACCTAAGCACCCCCACCCCGTGACGACAGTGACGTAATACTATGCTGGAACTAAGTGTTCCCATCCCAGCACCCTCCGCCTGATACTCAAATGCCTTCCCCGTGGAGGTGGGCTCCTCATCTCAGCCGCAGTGTAGTGTGCATGCTGGCAGAGGCCCGGCGTGCCTGCTCACGTCTGCGGAACTGAACATGCCCTTCACGTTAAGTGTTACCTTAGGATCACTGCAGAGAGCGGACTGGGAAGCTTAAGAGGTTATCAGACACCCGAGGATCTTAAAAGGTTCTTCTGCTCATGGCCTTGGTCCAGTTCCTCACTCCCTACTGAGATGGACTCAGAAGCTCTGCAGGACTTGAGGTGAGAGCTGGCAGCCATGCCAGTGTCTCTGCCCAGCACAGGGACAAGCAAGCCTTTGAGGAGGTTCCCTGTGTGCTTTCCCCATTAGGTCATTCATCCTGGATCATATCATCCCCCAAAAATCTGCACTTGGCCTGCAGGGATCCCCTGGCTCTGGTACTGGGCCCCACCAAGCACGTGGGGCCCAGCAGCAGCCGCAGCTGCCAGGGAAAGCCCACAGCGGGACTTCCCTGAAGGGCCACTGCAGGGCCAGAGTCAGCCTAGACTTCATGCAGAGTGGACTAGAGGTGGCCCGGGGGTGCTCAGGTAGCAGCTGGCTCCAGGGACCCCAGAGTCTGAACCCATTGGGGTTAAATACCCCACAGGCATCAGGCCCAAATGGCCCACATGCGGCCACTTAGGCCTGGTGCAAGCAAACCCAGCAACCCTCCCCTGGGCCTTTAGGGTGTTGGTCTTTCCACAGAGAAGCAGTGCAGAGCATGTCAGACACTGGGACCCAGCCTGCCTCACTCCTGCCCTTCTAGGTCATTAGGCAGAGCGACTCTGAGGATGCGGAAGTTCCAGGAAGATGGGCAGGAAAGATGTCTGGGGTTTTCTGGGGTCAAGCATAGCACCGCCTTCATGCTTCAAAGCACAGAGTGGGGCTGCTCGCTCCCCTCAACCTCCCCTCCCGGGTGCCCTCGGCTGGGGGGCAGTTCAGCCCGGGCCACGGGAAGGCAGATGGATTGCAGGGGGAAACTAAATTTGCACCAATCTGATTGCCTCTCCAGGCACCTCACCATTCTCGCTTCTACACAAAATGAGGGAATGCTTCAAACAACCGAGCAGTGCTCAAACCCAGTGGGGGAAAAGCGTAGGCACTTAAATGGTAGATTTGAGGTTAAAAAAAAAAAGACCTCTTTTCTTTCAAGCTCCAGGCCTCTTATACAGCTCCCCAAATGACAGGGGGCAGGAGAAAGAATGGGGAGGCAAGCGCACTTGGCAGGAGGCCACCTTCCTTGGGATATTCCCTGAAATCAGGGCCCACTTAGGGGAAAGACAGGAATCAGCAAGTGACCAGTCCTGACTCTGTTTGCAGCCCTTCTCCTCACAGATTCCCACCCAGGCCTGCTGGGATGCCAAGCACACCCAGCTGAATGTCCTCCCTGCCTTCCACACCCTGCCCTGTGAGAGCCACTCAGAAATAGAAAAGGAGACCATGTTTATTCCACTTCTGAAGGGTACAGCCTGTGTGTCCTCCCAGGGCTGCGGGCGTGCAGGCCTGTGCTAATCTGCATGGCTACTGCTGACACCTGCTGGCTGCATGTCCCTGAAACTGCTAGTGCCTCAGAGAGAGAAGAGGGGCTCCCTGAGGCCCTGGCGCCTGGCCAAGGCCACCCGATCTCTCAACCTTAGGCTCAGCTGGAGCAAAAGTGGAAAGAAAACAGAATCTGTACGGCCTGGGGCTGAGTACGGTGACCCTCAGAAAAGAGGAGAGGGGAGGGGGCTGTATGTTCAACCAGAGACAGCTTAGGGGGAGGAAGACCGAAGTGAGGTCTGCTGATGCAGTGCCCTGGGGAGACCAGAGGGAGCCTCCTCTGCTGCTCCCCGAAAAGCGGTGCTCCTTATACCAGGGCAGTGGGTGGCAGGGCCCATCATCGCCTTTCTCCAGGTTCAGCCACACAGGCCAGGGCAACGGGGGAGCTGTACCCGAGTCTGCATGAGACGCCCGGCCGAGGGTCCTGAAGGAGATGGCCTGGGGCTTCCCGCAGAAAGGCAGCAGGAGGGGAGGCTGGTGCCACAGCCCAGCTGTCAGCCAGGGAGGAGGCAGGCTGATGAGATGGGGCTGCATGGAGTCCTGTGCTGGGTCCCACGGTGCAGGCAGGGGCAACGTGTGCATGATTTTAATGCTTCCGGATGACGCGTACACCCCACGGAGCTCAGACGTCAGGAGCTGAGGGGACCCTGTTTAACCTGTAATGAGAGGTGTGCAGATTCACTCTCCCAGACCGGTGGGGGCCTGCAGGCCACACCCCAGAGCCCAGCACATTCAACTCTCCGGAGCACTGAACCAAGCACATTCTCAGCTCTTCTCCGGCAATGTCCTTGTCCCCAGACAAGAACTCTGTGGTTCTCATCCCTGATTACATGTTACAATCACCTGGGAAACTCATAAAAATTCTCAATCCCAGGCGGCACCCAAGGTTTCTGGGAGCAAGACCCGGGCATCTGCACTTTGAAAAGCTCCCCGGGTCAATCCAATGCAGTCAAAGGTCAGGAGGAGGGGAAAGGAATTCACACTGTTTCTTTAGGCTCTTTGGCCCCAGCTCCGAAGAAGGAAGTGAAAATTCACTAAAATAAAGTTTTGAGTTATTTGTAAACAGCAAGAAAAATTTATGTCTGCACTAAAATTAGAACTTCCTGCCCATGGAGGCTATTTTGGAAATAGCGGCTTTCCAAGAAGCTGTTGAATCTCCTCTTTGCAGGTCTTTGAGGACGGAACGGGACATGAGGAGACACCTCCTCAACCCAAGGACCAGAGGAAGCTTAGGGACGACCGCGAGCTGCTCCTGGCTTCCTAACCTCGTGGCCCCAATTCCAGCACCCTGGACCGCTGTGACCTGTGGGGACCACCAACCACTGAGTCCTTCCCTCTGCAGTCGCGACCCCAACACAACGCCTCTCTTGTCCTACTAGATCCCGACATTAACACCAGGAGGAAGGAGTCCTTATTCCTATTCTGCTGGGAGGGACTGAAGGTCGGAGCTGAACCAGCCTCCCAGGAACATGCGGGTGGTAGGGAGCAGAGTTAGGAGCCGAATCCCATTGGAAGCCTTGCTGATCCCCTACTGCCACTGGTTCCCAAACGGGGAAGGGCCAGGCACAAGGATGTTGAGGGCCTGGGAGGAGTCTGCACACATGCATGCGCATCTGTGTCTGTAAACAGGCCCACTGACCTTCAGGGCAAGGACCGTCCTTGATTCTGAGATTATGTCCCCCCTTCCTGTTTGCGTCGAAGAACATGCTTTATGAAGTGCGGCTGCTAGATGGTAGGGGTTTCCCCTCTCCAATGTGCTTCCTTGGTTACAGGAGAGGTGGGCACTCTGCTCTTTGCCACGTTTCTTCTGTGAATTTTAGTGGGGCACAAAATCCCAAAGACTGTACAGCGCCAGCACCCTCACCCCACTGCAGAGGGGCGGCCCTGTGAGCATGTGCATGACACGGCCAGAGAAATCCAGGCCTTGGGCAGTCCACCCAAGCTCTGCGCTGTTTCCTGGAGTGTGAGGGGCCGCCCACTCCGAGCATGGCTGTGGAGATTGAAGGCCTTCGTCTGGGTGACACATTGGCCAAATCCACATTCATAAGGAGGACATGGCCACAGACCCACGTGCCCTCAAGGCCCCACCTCTGACTGCACTGAGGCTCCTATTCTCAAGACTGTAATGAAAAACCACGCCTCAGGAAGATGGCAGCTCACCTATGGAAAAGGCCAAAGCTCTGGCATGACTGTTTGGAAAATGGACACCTGTTATCACACCTGTAGGGTCAGGTACGGACACCTTGTGCCCCTGAGGCAAGGGTGGCTTGAGGACCCAGCTTCCCCGCATGGCAGCTCCGTACCCTTCAATGATGCGGTTGTTGTCCTGAAGGTCAAATGCCACCAGCTTCATCTCCTCATAGAGCTCTTGCATGCTATCCAAGGCCGAAGGAAGAGAGGCGGCTATGGCCGAGGCCCAAGTCGCCCTGCCCAGGCCTCCCCCACCCCAAGAGGCCCACCACCAAGCCTGTCTTTATTCCTGCCTCCTAGGCACGGCATGTGGCTGAACCCCTCAGCCCTAAGCCCTAAGCTCAGCACCCTACCCCCTCACTCCAGCCCTTACACACACACACACACACACACACTCCTCTCCCACACTTACTGGAGGACCAGGTCCATTGGTGCAGGGATGGGATAAGCAGTTACTGGGAGCAGTGACGCCTCAGCCCCTTCTGCTCTGTCCTGAAGGAGCTGGTGCGATAGCTGGTCAAGGATCTGAAAGGAAACCATGGTTCAGTCAAAGGGGACGGGCCAGAAACTGTTATTTTGTAGGGGAGGCTCAAGGAGGGGGCAAGAAAAGGGTGACAGGATGGCCCACAGCCGGGGCCCCTGGAGCACCCACAGCGCCCCAGCCTTTCCCGTGAGCCCCTCCTCCCAGCCTGTGAGCACACAGCCGCCTTCCCCACTGTGCTCGGGGGAGCGGCGAGGCCGCTGCGCCCTCCTGTGTCTGACCCACAGCTCGTAGGACACCATGTGAGCAGGTGGGCAGAGGCGGGGTGCCAGTCTCTGAAAGAGGGTCAAGGCGGAGCGGCAGCCCTTCCCGCTGGCAAAGCAGCGACTTCTCAGAGCTGCCACGTCTCTTCGCAGAGAGCAGATCAGCAGACACAGGAGAGTTCACAGCGCCCCCGCATTCTGGAGGCTCTGCCCTTGCAGTGACCTTCACTCTGAGACCACCAAAAGTGCCTTCCACTCCTCTGTCCCCACAGCCGGGCACGCTAGTGGGTCAGAGACTGCCAATCCACACCAAGGTGCTTGGATTCGTTAAGGCGGTTCCGCCCAGAGGCAGGGGGTGGCCCGGGTGGCCACAGGCCGCCTGAGGACCCTGGCTCCCCTCGCACCTTGCTGAGGCTCTCCTGGGCTTCCTGGGCTTTGGTGCTACAGGCGGCCACGGAACAGCCCACCTGGCACAGGTGGTTCCTGGTATCATGGACCTCCCTGGAGAGCACAGATCAGCAGTCAGAGCCGGGTTCACTTATGCTTCCCAGGGACCCCCCCGGCTGCTGTTCAGGTCACCATACAGACTGGAGGGGCAGCCTTCCAGATGACGGAGGCTGGAGCGGATGGGTCCCCAGCATTACTTCCCTCACTGCCTCTGTCCCTCCACGTGGCCCTCAGCTCCCACCTGTCCTGCTGTAAGAATGCTGGTGAGCGCGGCCCACTGAGGCTGGTGGGGGGTCTCCTGAGAGCCCCCGTGGGAGTGGCAAGCATACATGTGGCCACAGCTGGGTCACATGTGCGGGTAAGGATGAACTCGGGGCCAGGTCAGGCTCCAGAGGGGCAGAGGACTGCCCACACTGGGGCACTTAGCAGGGGAGCTGCCCACGCTCCCATTTCCAGGGCACATCAAGGTCAAGAATCTTTTATGAATTCTGTTCTCTAAGTTGGGGGAGTAGGCAAGAACATTTTCCCCATTGCACACAAAGGAAACCAGATCCCAGGGCTGGGAAATCAGTGGTTGATTCTCAACTCTGACTATACATTAGAATCTCCTGGAGGTGTTTTTAAAATGCTGATAGGCAAGCCTGACTTCAAACCAATTAAATCAGAATTTGGGATAGGCTGGGGGTGGGTGAGCCGGCATTGCTATTCTGATGCACAGTGGATGAGCGCCCAGGTCTCACCCTTATCACAAGCCCACAGGTCATAGGGTCTCCAACCAGCAGCACCTGGGAAACTGCCCCGTTTTCTCAGGAAGGGCCCAGATCGTGCAGGCAGGGGAAGGAGGAAGGGCCAAAACCCTACAGAGGACGGGGTGAGAGGGTGGTACTGAAGGGTCCTCTTCCCTGACCCCTCAGAAGCCTATAAGCCAGCTTGTCCTTACTTATCCCAGGGGGCCCTTGTGTTTTCCCCAGGGAGGGGGCTTCCCAGCACAACCACTTGGAGATGGGAGAGAACCCAGATGTTAGAGACAGTCAGACCTGGACACTAGTCCTGCATCTGCTACCTACCAGCTGTGGGCTACTGAGGAAGAACCCTGTTCTCTGAGCCTCGGTGCCCTCATCTGTGTAATGGGTGATAGCACCTACTCATAGGGTAGACAGTGTGGGATTAAATAAGCTAATGCATAAACCACCCAGCAGACTGCCTAGTCCACCGAGGTGCACAAAACCATCCATTTCTCTCCTTTTCTTCCTTTCCTACCACCCGTGTCCATCAGGGCTGCAAAGTCCAGGGTTGTCTGAAGCCAGGAGGGGCCCCAGGGCCCAGGAGCTCAGGAGGGAGAGCCAGATGGTTACCTCATCCGCTTGCCGTGCGCGACCAGAGATGCCTGATACTTCTGCACACACTCCTCCTGGAATACCTTCAAGAGCCTTTTGGCTAAATGACTAAAATTCACCCTGAAAAGACAGGGACACCAAGGCCCAGT